TGTTATATCTAACCGTATAACATAGTTTAAAAGCTTCTTGTTAACTTTGTTCTAAACTGGCCGGTTTAAGAAGGAGACAGTATTTACAACTTGCAACATGTGTTCCTGCTGAAGAATTATGGCATAATTTAAAGACACTCTAGATTCTTTATAAGATATTACATATGAGCAAGAACGTGATCACACAGATATTTATTTACTGTATTTAGATGATGACAAACATTGTTGTGAGTTTAAAATGAAATCGTAGTGCCTAACATGTAAAAGCTGTCTTGCACCTGGTTTTGTGTTCAGGATAAAGTACAACAGTTCATACAATTTCATCGAAGGAATGTTGGAGGCTTTCCCTTTAAATGTCCGTTATAGTTCCGCCGTCAAACATATGTTAGCTGCTGGGGTACCTGAACTAACAGGTGAGAGCTAACATATGGACAATGTGTATCGTGTACGGAGGTCTGTGATTGGTCCCCCTGTAACGGGTGTATTATCTACCTACCGTTACCAATAGAGCTTGACGGCCGTATGATGATACTATGCTAATAAACGCAGACGTGAAGTTTGATTGCAATAAAACCTGCAAAATGTACGACAACACATCTGCAGCACAACCAATCTAATCTTGACATTCTCAATTTTAAAAATGTCTTTGTGAAATTTGTTGAAATTCACATACAAATATATTTACATGTATAGATTGTAAGCGCTAACTAGCACTCTTTTATTACGCATAGAAAATGTAGAGGCGATAGTTCTGTCTGTGTTTGTTTATTCACTTTGCTGTTGTATGTATGTAACATATATAGGTATCACAGAAGTTTGTTTGCATTTACTACACATATTGTCATGCTTGCTTGAATTCACAGGTTTTCTTGCATATAATATATATAAACTTTCCTACATGAGTACACAATTATATATATATATAATAGAGAGGTTTGCTGTCCAACATCCTCATACTGTACGGAGCTCCTTGTAACGTGTACGGCAATGACATCATCAGACGGTGTTGGTATGAAAACCTTGCTACAAAAAACACGCTTCCCTGCAGGTAGGGCGTAAGAATTGTACCTGCTGCCCCCATTGCATGATCGTAAGAGGGGACTAAATTTGGGAACTTATCTTTTCTCTTCCTTCTAAACAACCTTCTTCCTCCTATTGTCTCTGTTGACAATGCCTCACTTTTGGCCTTTAGCTGAGCGTTCGCCCCTGTGAGGAAGGCTTTGGGTTCTGTCCCTTGGCCCTTAACGCTCAGCAATTTAGGAGTGGGGCGACTGGTTCGCCCGTTGTCAGTATAATGTGACCGGGCGGGATGTCCTGCTGGATGTTTTCGGCAGTATGTTTCAGTGAGGTAGCACTATAAAGTCAGTATCAGTTCTGCGCTATCACAAGGAGACGAACACGAACATATCGCAGCCTTCCAAAACACACAAGCATACACTACACGCATGCATCTTGCACACAGGGGAGGCCGTTCTTAAATGACCATAGCTGTTGATAGGACGTTAAACAATACTATACCAAACCAAATTGCAACTTCATCTATCAGTGTGTTGTCAGTCACCATCATCCCTATACTTAAAAATTGGCTGTGTAACAGGTCATATTTATAGTTGGCAAATTGTCAAAATTCTGCAGTTAAACGACCAAGACAAGTACATGTGAAAAACCGGGTTTACCACTTAAAGTTACATCAACAATATAATCAATATCTAGAACATTTATCTTCTTACAAAATGAAAATCCACACGTTTCGCCCGTGCTAAAAATAACGACAGCGCACATAAGTACTTGTAGTTAGATGAGTGGAAATTTTATAATAAGGCTGAACGTTTACAGAGTGTGTCCCATATCTGTGTTTATGTGAAGTTTAAAATACACACGCATACATATGATTATCAGCACGTATATTCATTTCCCTCATTTGTAAACAAGTAACATGCTTATAAATGTTTGGGTGCCACTATCACTACACAAAGTTCTATTATTGGAATATAATTCCAACAGCCGTCTTTGTACGCTAGACGGTTTGTATTGCTTTTGCAAGCTTTTAATACTGCATGATTCCCGGTTAGTCAGTTCTCACATTCCCTGTTAGCTGGTACTTACATTCCCGGTTAGACGGTACTTACATTCCTGGTTAGCTGGTACTTACATTCCTGGTTAGACGGTCCTTACATTCCTGGTTAACTGCTACCTACATTCCTGGCTAGCTGGTACTTACATTCCAGGTTAGCTGGTACTTACGTTCCTTGTAAGCTGGTACTTACATTCCCGAGGGGAGGCCGTTCTTAAATGAGGTTAGAAGGTTCTTACATTCCCGGTTAGAAGGTACTTACATTCCCGGTTAGCTGATACTTACATTCCCGGTTAGACGGTACTTACATTCCCGGTTAGCTGGTACTTACATTCCTGGTTAGACGGTACTTACATTTCCGGTTAGCTGGTAATTACATTCCAGGTTAAATGGTTCTCACATTCCCGGTTAGACGGTTCTCACATTCCTGGTTAGCTGGTACTTACATTCCCGGTTAGACGGTACTTACATTCCTGGTTAGCTGGTACTTACATTCCTGGTTAGACGGTCCTTACATTCCTGGTTAACTGCTACCTACATTCCTGGTTAGCTGGTACTTACATTCCCGGTTAGCTGGTACTTACGTTCCCGGTTAGCTGGTACTTACATTCCTGGTTAGACGGTACTTACATTCCTGGTTAGCTGGTTCTTACATTCCTGGTTAGCTGGTACTTACATTCCCGGTTAGCTGGTACTTACATTCCTGGTTAGCTGGTACTTACATTCCCGGTTAGCTGGTACTTACATTCCTGGTTAAACGGTTCTTACATTCCCGGTAATCTGGTACTTAAATTCCCGGTTAGCTGGTACTTAATTCCTGGTTAGCTGGTACTTACATTCCTAGTTAGACGGTTCTTACATTCCCGGTTAGACGGTTCTTACATTCCCGGTTAGACAGTACTTACAATCCCGGTTAGACAGTACTTACAATCCCGGTTAGACGGTTCTTACATTCCCGGTTAGACGGTACTTACATTCCTGGTTAGACGGTACTTAATTCCTGATTAGCTGGTACTTACATTCCCGACTCATTCTGAGGTTGATTTCCAGTTGGTACAAACATTTGCGGTAAGGTGGTTATACATGTACATGTACTAACTGGTACTAACGTTCGAGGTAAGCTGGTACGTGTGACTGTTAAAATATATCAATTTGTTGTATTAACACGGGTGTTTCCACTGTTTACAAACAAAAGTTGACGATTTAAGGTTATTGGTAAAGGTATATACGATGGCCTCCGATGGCCCTTAACTCATTCATCCCCGAAGACACATTTTAACTCCTCCATTTCAAAGGTTGGAATAGTTCATAATGAAATTTCAGGGGTGAATGAGTTAACAAAGATATATTACGTTGTCTAGGGACGATTCAGTCCTGTCTTTGGCCGCGACAGATAAACAAAAAATAAAAGGTAGCTATCTTAAATCAATTATATTCGTAATATTTGATATATTTTCGAAAGACATTGTATTTCTTACAACTATTGATGGACATGGTTTCTGGTTCATGGGATTAGTATCTCTACATGCTATGCATGGATCCAGAGTAAATGTTGATATTATGTATCTATATTTTATGTATTAGTAAAAAGACTACCTACTGGTTTCAACACAATGGTAAGAAATACCATATCACATTTGGTCAATTTATATACAATAGACTTCCTATTTGTATTAAAAGAGAATTATTAATGCTATGAATAGTACGCGTTTTATCTGTGTAATCGAACTGCCTGACGCGGACGTACAACCATTCAAACAAATCAACAACACTCCGTATTATAGTAAGGATACTCCAGCTGTGACATTGATTGGTATCCAGGATGTCGTATCGCAATCTCAACTCTTTATTTAGTTTAAAGATAACATTTCACCCTACTTTATTACCGTGTTATAAACTTCACACGATTACTGTCGGTTTACAATTTCATCTCTGTGGCATGTTTTGACAAAATTTAGTGTCTTGTGAAGCATAAGCGCCATAAACAATTTTTAAAAACGTAGGACACTAAGGTCGTTTGACTCTTATAACTTGATTGAATTACACAGACGGAAGCATTGCATTAACTATGTTCCCTTTAGTTGACCCTGGATGACGAAACGTGTGTGAAATATACCTGCTATCTAAGCAATGTGTTGTCAAGCGGAAGTTTGCGATTATGTCGCATATCAAAGATGCCAAGGAAACGCAGACAGCGGCATCGATAAACTAGGATTACTCGTTATTCTGTACTTTGTAACGGTGGAAATGCATTCAATAAAAAAAGAAGATCAAAGGTTATCAAATTTAAAATAAATATGATGTTATGCGAGTATCATCCCATGCATTGAAATGCAAATGTGGACTGGTTAGTTATTTTCGCGATTTCTAGAACACTTCTAAATCATAACGAACATTTTATTCCTTACAACCTTCGCTAACATACTTACAACTTTACCCCACCCAACTGATAATACTAACAATACTTGTCTAATAATTCTCAACAATGTACGAATTTCTATGTTTCGTTATGAAATTGAAAATACTACTGCAAGAATGCAAAGCGGCACAGATCAGTATATTTGAAATATCAAGTAGCTTGTAACGACAATAATGTTATGAGAATCATCAAATCATAAATACTGCAAAAGCATAAGATATGACTAAACTGGTATCATCTCCATCCCGTATACCGTAACCTCGATAATCAGAGTTAGCCTTTTGACTAGTGGTATCATTCATAATATACACACTAAATTCATCATTCAGTTGTAATAAACCTGTACTCCTGTAATTGTTAAATTTCAGAAAATAAAGGGGTTTTCACATGTTCTTTGTTAATCCTTTAACTGAAATCAAATAAAATCACAAATTTATATAGAAGAGCATATCTTGGAACAATGAAATACCAATTAAAAATAAATACAACAAACATATTTTTTATACTTTTATTTTGTCACACCAATAAATGAATGAAGTGGTATAAAAACAACACTCTGTATAATCAAAAGAATCATATAGAATCGAGATATTGCACACTAATCAAGAGGATGAAGCACCAATATTAAAGTCACACTGAATAAGAACATATTAAGCACATAGACTTCGCACTACATTAGGTATCTACTCAGCATCTAATTGCTCACATTTTGCAAACAGTCCGTTCACTCAGGTATTTAGCTGAAAAATGGAACAAGTCCATAATCTGCCGGTATTTCTACGGAACAGGAACCATAAACGGAAAGTGGCACAGAAAGGTCCTTGTCCGTCACGTGCCATGTACAGTTCTCGGGCGAATACACGTACACGGTTTTCAACACGTTGTCGTCATTTGGAGTTTTTCCACCAGCAAAGAAGATACCTTCTCTTTCAGCAAACATGGCAAAGTTTGTGCAGCACACAGGCATGTTTGTACAGATGACGTGCTGATCTGAAGCTGGATCATACGACACAAGACGCCCATTACCGCACGTGACAAAAATCTTTCCCTCGCGCACAACCGCCTGGCCTCCTGATACCGGAAACGGGAGACTGGCCAGAATTTTGCTTGTCTTTGTTTTGGGGTCGAACATCTGAACAATGGACGTTTCTTTACCCATGTCTAATATTCCCCCGAACACGTAAATCTGGCTGTTATGTATTACAGCTGTAGCACTGCGGACACCTATTTCTAGATTTCCCACTGTCTTCCAGGAATGGCGTTTTGGCGCGAATTCCTCAACGGTGCGAATTGTCTCCCCTTTGCTACATTGCCCTCCCAACACATAGAGTTTGTTCTGAACACACGTCATACAGTGGTGAGATCTTCCCTTCACTAGTCTTTTTGAGCACTTTTTCCTCTTGTTCATAACAATGTCACAATGGTATACGTCTCCCGAACATTTCCCGCCTCCAGACACGTACACGTGAGGCGCGTCATAACCATTGTCTTGTAAACAACACACTGCACATCCTACACCGACATTAGAAAGTTCTGGTATCCGACAGGTTTTCTGAAAATTCTTTCTGCAATCATACAGATGGAGGTCAAGAGGCCGAGATGACCGATCTTCTCTGTTTCCAGTAAACATTAACTGGTAGCGAGAGGCTTCATTTCTCGACCTCGGCTCTAAACTGAGGCGGCGGCACATATTATTATTTCTTAGAAAGTTTTCACATTCATATTGTAATTTTTCATGATGAAGTGTCCTCGATATTTCGAGATATTGTTGAACGTTTGCAGAATTAATACACTCTTTGTGACTGAAACAACCTTCACAGAAATAGGCGGCAAGGTGCTTCTTCGATTCCGGGTCGAGACATTCATGAATGAGGTTTGGATAAAGGCTGTTCGATGCGTTATGCTTCTGGCACTCCATTGCGTGCGATGTAATGGTGAACGTTCGTAGCCAAGATTTTTCGTCGCTGTGTGGTCATTCCACACTATCTCCTTGTGTGGTTCGTTCTGTTTAGGACCTGGAGTAAACAAACAAGAGTATTATGTTAAGGACATACTTCCCCTCCAGAACACATCCTACAGGAAGCAGGCAGTTAACACAGTGTTTAGATTAAGTGGATGTACAACACTAACTCTATTATAATGTCCAGTTATAATACACTAGTTTGTGTCTCGAGAACGGGAAGTTTTGTATAATTTATCTTCCTGTGTAGACGATCCACGCTTAAAACTCTGTCCCCACCACTCATGATAACACACACAAAGACAAATCGATATAACAAACGGCTACGCAACGTGGCTCGAATCTTTTTAATATGTTTTTGATATAAAACATTAAATTACATTTGTTAAGAAATACTGTAACATATGAATGTTGACTACCTTGCTCATGTCTAAGTACTAGACGTATTGTTTTAATACAAAGCCTGTTGTTAAATTCGCCATACTCTGACGGAAAGTCATTGTCCCCAATGGACCACGAGGTATGAAATCGATTCATGTATGAATCTGTAGCACAGATGAAGTGACTTACCTATTAAACGCCGTAGTACCTCGAGTCTGTTACATGTCAACTCCACTGTCCTGGAAGTAAGTTAGAAGTATTATTTACCTCGTTTTACTCGTGTAATACGGCCAACAAGCAGCTTCACGTTTAAAAATCCTTCCACTTTGATCAGTTTTAAATGCGGCACTGGTCTATTTTTACGGTACAGCGGGATTTCCCTCTTTGTTATCATCAATGCTATTATTAGATAGCATTACTACGTCGCTGTCGTTACCACAATTACATTAGCCAGGGCCTTGCTTTTTAATAGGTAACCCGCAGAACTCAGGCGTGTACGAACTCGATAAGGGTTTTATTTGGTATGCTACGAGTCGTTCAAATTTTACTATCACTGTTGACCGTGTCCTGTTTTCAAACCCTTGTTATCTTAACGATTATTGAACTCAGTTTTTTCAAAATAATAATTTTTTAAAGAAAAAAACGGAAATCCTTAAAAGAGTTTGTATTTTCAGGGTATCATTATCAATCTATAAATATGCAATTTTATTTTTATAATATGAACATTAAAAAACCCTGCATGCAAGATGAAACAGTTCACGTTTAGTTAAATATCAAGCTGTCTATCGAGGTAGGTATTGCATAGATGGGTTCATATCGGGGAAATACAAAGCCTTGTTAGGTGTGTATAACCTTTGTACCAATCTACAATATATATATGCAGACGTATATGAATAAATATGAAAATAACAAATATGAACTGTTCTACATACAAACAATGAATACATTGATTTATCTTGATATTAACACGGTTTGGAAACCTCTTCCACTGAATTTGTCATTGGTTAAGCTGACGATACTTTGTGCAATGTGTATTTGCTATTTGTTCGGCCATCCTTGATATGACCCGTACAGGTGTTATAACAAGGTTATCAGGGATAACTCATAACAATGGCAAGGAAGAAAACCGCAAGGCTGAAATCACATATTTAACATAGTATGGCGACTACTAATACAAGAGATGTTGTTTTAGGTTAAGAAAATTTTAAATACAATTGTGTTTAATCCATGCCATCAAAGCATGAATATACTCTCTATTTAAACTAAAACCAATTTAAAGTATACATATACATGTGGGTGAAATGCATTGTTATACTTTTGCTTTGAGCGGTGACGTTACAACAATGATTTCATGTGACCTACTTTCGACTGTCAGACAAATCATTCATGACCTGGAACGTATACAAAAGTGTACGTCTATTATACGATTACGTACATTACTACAGAAACATGTCAAATTATTTATCTGACAGCACAGCACCTATCCTCTGTGTGGGCAGATTTATTACGATGAAGTAAAATTAGTTAATATAGTAACATATCAAAGCATCGCACTCTGTTAGTGAGTCAGCGATTTGAAACAAAATTGCTTTCAATGTGTTGGACATTTACAATAATATCATTTTTAGAATTTAAATGGTAATATTATATAAGGGGTCTACAATTTGTTATAGTCAATATGATTTGAAATAGATTGTTTTGAAATTGGCGAAATTCATTTGAAGAATGCAAAAAAATGAGAAAAAAATCCGTTAAAATAATAAACGACTACACATATACGTATGAAACTGACATTTTTACGTAAAATAATTATAACAATGTTCATTCTGTCTTCAAACAAACGACATTTTATCTAGCACGGTTTATGTTTCTCTAATGCTATTGAAGAAACTAATACGAGTATAAACGTTGATTTCATGTAATACGAACTTACGTCATGCATTGACACGCAGGCTACACATTTACATAGGGTTCTTGTGAAGTCATTGTGAATGGCTAGATGTGACAATTTAACACAAAATTAGGAAGATGGTCATTTGATCTACTTTGGACACATTTGTATTACAAACAGGTATTTTAGCCACACGAAATCCATGAGATATGACTTGTTGTATTTGTAATGTGCGAGTATGTGACATCCTACATGGAGCATGTGTTAAACATATTTTCATGCGTAGAGGTATACACATTCACCCACGGTAGGACTTACCGGTGGACATGCTTCAGGGGAGAATCATATATATGTTTATCAGGTACACCGTCAGTGGCGGTACACAATGACAAACATATAATACAGTGGCTTAAATTACTTTATTATATTGCAAACTGCTGAATCACACTCTAAGTTAAAATCAAGGTAAAATTCCATGGACTTGTACATATATATATACAAATTTATAAATAATTCGTTTTACATATCACAGGGAAAACCACTGTGATAGTCGATTTTGTCGTATGATTTTAGTCTGCATATTTGTTTCAGAAAAAAAAAGTTGAAACTGTTGTACTAATCACAAGTCAGTTCTGTTATATTCTGAAAAAAACACTTTTTTAGTCGTGTTAAAACATGTTCTAATGGAAAGTTGATATGCAAATTAGAATTAAATATTCGCGTATCAACCGTGGCCGTTGGGTAACCCGATATATGTGTGTATACGAAGTTTTGATGGCTGTAATTTTCCATGAGGACGCTATGAGAGCGAATTTTTAAATTACATTTTGACAAATACAAGGGAAAATACAAATCTACGAGGTTCCTCATTCCAAGAAGTTTGAATCAATTTGACTAATTGAAAATCACACGGAAGTTTTCCTACACATATAAAAATGAGAAATATACATACGAGAATGATTATGCTTTATATAAAGTTAAAATTCTGGGTCCAAAGCGAATTATTCAACCTTGTCAGTCCAAAGAGAAAATTGAAAGATGTATATTTTATATTGACTTGAATGTACTGGAGAAAAATATTCAAGTGGCTGACACGCTTTTCTTATTCATTTACGCAATGATATCATTTAGCAAAAATCTCAAAAACCTCGTGGAAATCACAAAGGGGGTGGGGGTGGGGTATGATAAAGAAAAGGCACACAAAATAAATCGATGCTATAGTGAAACACATATTAGTCGCCTCTTATAATCCTGAATTGAATAATACGAGTCATTCCTATCTTTCCGCCCACCCCTCACAATTTATGGCTAGGTCCCGGAGAAACATACCAATCAGTTTGCAGGAAAGTTTTGGTTTGTAGAGGCCAGACGCCACAGGAAGGACGGAAGGTTTCACGGAAGACACACATCCGTTTAGTACGACCCTTGTTATGATACTGCGTCATATGTACATGCATATGCATTATCTACATGTACATACATTGTACGGATATGCAGCCCAGCACACATGTGGTCAATCGAAAATATTACATAGTACAATTCATATCAGATGTCATATGATAATAACGTTTTTATCCCAGGGGAGTATTTCACATTATTTCATAGTTTAAGTATTGATCACATTATTTCATTTATTCAATTTTACAGTGATTCCTCGCATTGATTAATAATAAAATGTTAAATAATAAAGTACTCAATTCAAGCCTTTTTAACAAAATGTGTACCTGTTACGTTTACTTAACACGTTGTAGGGATACTCAAAGGGTTACGGTCACATATATTCTCGTTACCCTGGAATATGTCATGAAAAAAGCGAAAAGTCAGAGTGCATCGCCTTGTCGATGATACAAGAAGACTAGTTTGATTCCTTGATGTACATCAAAAGAATCCCGCGACCGCGTAACGGTAAAATTGGCTGGCTTTGGAGTCATGTGTCACTCCTATGTATTCTTTAGAGGACAGGTATTAATTAGCCCAGCGATTGATCAGTTCTTTTTAACCTGAGAAAAATAGCTAGCCGTGTATCTTCAATTTTGCCATGACATATTCCAGGGTGCAGAAAATATAAGGATGGGGATTCCAAAGTAAAACAATGTTCCCATGAAATGATTTCACTTTATTCCATGGAATTTTAGTTTCGAATTTGAAAACTTTTCTCTTTGCTCATAGCATAGAAATGGTTTTCATGATCACATCGATACATACAAATAAATTCCAAAACATCTTAAATAATTTTACATTTTTATCTTTACAAAATCGAAAAATACTCAAGTTGAAATTTTGAGTCATTCAAAGAGTACATACGTATACGTTAGATAACGTATTTTATGGGATGATCATTTTCGAGTCTTTTTGTGGGGAAAATTATCACGAATTATATTATCCGGCAAATACAATGAAAAGAGTAAAAGAGCGTTTATTATATATATTCCGAAATATATCTTAGGTCACCCAAAATCATATGCACGATTTTATCGACATTACTTTATTACATAATTATCTGACTGAAATCCAAAATCTTGCAAGGTCCCTTATCTTTATGTCGATGACGTACTGTCTTTATTTAAAAAAAGACTGTTTTTGTACACTCTTGAACTTATTTTAAGGACACTGAAGACTATTCCTCTTCATCCGCTCAGCTTCATATTTTCTTACAAAGTAACCGTTTACTGAGCTGAACGATATGCATGACGATTTCGATTTTCATGTATCATGAACGCTTTCTGACAGCAATATCCATGCCTCCCCCATCTACGGTGTTTACAAGTCGCAACTATTTCAATAATCAATGGTTGTCTCTGAATATCATGGTTTCCGAGAAAGATGTCAATTGCAGGCAGTAAAAAACAAACTTACATCAAAATGTTTCGACATTTACACAGATGCAGACTGTGTTCAACTTTTTGTTGCCATTACTAAGATATATTCAATTTTATTGTGCGACAGGTCAATTGAAGTAAACAATATGCTCATTTGTTTATTGATTTGTGATTTCGATGTAGATACTCAGGTTCATAATTTGACGGGTCCACCATATTGGTAACGCTTCCAGAACTACAGCGGGGTTGTGGAGTGACAGCCTTCATAAGATAAAGATATAGATATAGCCCTACCTTACAAAATAAAGTCATCGAGGCAATATTACTTCAGGGGGACAATATTGCTTACATATTGTTCGGGACATCCATTAACTCATTCACCCCTACCATTGAACTATTTCTATAATTGAATTGGAAGAGTTAAAATGTGTCTTCAGGGTTGAATGAGTTAATATTTCTGGGTTGTTAAAGGTTATGATCTCAACGACAGTGGGGGCGTCGGGCGGCAGCTCCCGTATAGGATGTACAGCCTTATCTAATAAAACGAGATGACAACACAATATCTTGCATGATTTATTTATTTCAGGCATCCCTTAAGACTTCGGTGATTTTGAAGGTTTTGATGTCCTCACCGGTAGCTGGTGGTTTCAAAGATTACTTTCAATATCCTTGTGTGTTTTGTTCAGTATTGGTAAAGACCATGCAGTTTATTGTTGAAAGTTACCACTTTACGAACTAGAGTGTTTGACAATGCAAATCCAAATCAGAGTATTAGCTGATTTATTGTCAACAGTAAATATTTTCACGGTTTGGCTAAGACATATACTGGAGTAGGGATACCTAGGGTAAATGAAAGTTACAAAAATCAGTGCACGTACGAGTTCATAACTTCATAAGGATTTGTGTTTTCAATTCAACGAAATCTTGAATCTAGAAATATGAATTTGTTTCTCTGATTATTTATGCACAGCGTCCATATCGAGGTTTACATCGACGAATCCAAGAGGAATTTGATGTCAATGTAATTCCTTTATATATATATATATATATTTCTTTGTATTCTGCATTGCCAAAATAAAGAGTAGAAGAAAAAAATATTTTTGCTATCTCAATAACCATTATGACTCTGCTTCAGTTTGACATATAATTTGTTTCTCATAGATACCAAGAGGGAACTTACTTATCTGGAAGCATGTCAGCATTTGTAATGTAGCATAAGTCCTGTAGAAGGTTCTTCCATCCTTCAGGAGGTTCCCTAACCCCAAACAACGACACTCCACTGGTTAAACACCAGGATGTACATGCTGGAATGCACTTTGCATTTGACAAGACAGAAAACAGATAACAGATATGGTTACATCTGACACGTCGGACGTGGGAAATGCATTCATCCCCATGGCGGACAGCTAATTCCTGGTGATGATACTGGCTTGGTGTTACACCAGGTCGCCACCCCGTAGCTTTATTCTACATCGATATTCATAGTCACTACATTCGACACCATGGCGGAAAATATATTCATCCCCAAGGTGGTCACCCTAATCCCGGCAACGAGACTCGATTGGTTCTTCATGGAGACCTGCATGCTGCGATGGCGCTCCTTATCGTTTCACCATGTAAAACCAACCAAGAGGTGAGTATAATCATATTTATGTTTTCCTAAACATATTTATTCTGAAGGATCTTCGAACCACTGCAAAAGAAGTGAACCTATGCATTCGAAATGTAATTTCCCGGTATGATTATTGCTTTGATAAATCATTTCTGAAATGAAAAGTATATTTTGCTGGTCTTTTATGAAAAAAAGATATGGACAAAATAATAAAGATAATAATAATACAAATGATAATAAAATAAAAAAAATAGTGTTCTACATGTATGTGGAGAAAGTCATCGTGGCTGAACCAGGATTCGAACCCGGAACCACAAACTGTTGTACTGTTGCTCTAATCGACTGAGCTATCTACTGAACAGAAGTATTCTGCGCTACTATTGTGGCCTTAACGAAATGAAGAGGAGGGTATGCATATACGAAAATCACAGTGCAGCGGGACAGGGATCCTTAAATAACATCTAAGAATTGGTAAATGTGATGTTCATTCCATACGTAAGAATGTACGTTCGGTTTATTATGATTTTATGGATTATTTCGCCTTTATTTTAAAATAATTTGTCAAAAATTGAAGAGCACATCCTCTTGTTATCATCCTTTTAAACAATATTTACTTTAAAGGTTACTGAAAGGTAGTGTTACTTTTAGTTAGCTACTGTCACAGTAATCGAGCAGGGTCCAAGTGTCAAGCAAAAGTCTTTTTGACAGTTTAATATATCATGTAATTTGTATACATGTATTTGTTTATAAGCAAAACTTTCGTTGATATGTCCTTATCGTCATGTCGTGCACGTGATACATACATTGTTTTAATATTTTTCGTCAACACTCTCTGCTGTTGGATAAACACAAAATATCCAACAATCTCTGATTAACTCCAAGTGAAAAGGATCTGACATTTACCATGCTTGACATAAATTTTAACATTTCATTTCTCAATATGTATATAATAATATGCTTTCCCAGATTTCACATATTTAAGGTTCAGGAATTACTGAATTGTACTTATTATCACATATATTTTTTTCATAACTAAATTTGAATATATTAAATAGATAAACGCATCTTTTAAAATTTCATTCATCTACTTAAATAATCTGCATGATTTTAAACATAATTCTTGAGAACTGATATGACTAATACACTTTTTGAAATAATAATGTTGTCATTTTTATTAATTGAGTTTTCAATGGATGTATAGTAAAAAATAGTGTTTTATTGATATGCAAATATAATAATGATATGCATTATAAAATCCATTCTTTCCCTGAATGCTATTGTGATAAAGTGCCCGATAATAATTACCGTCACAGTTACCAAAACGGGACACTATTAAGTTGAATATGTGTTTTATACCATAGTATCAATCAAAGATGTTTGTACATTTTTCATAAATAGATATCATCCACTTTTATTTCTATTAAAACATTCCCACAATTGATCAACTTTGGGTCCCATCCCGTATTGGGTACACTGGCGTTAGCCACTTAGTACAGTGTACTCACTTTAAATATATATGATGGGGGGAAGAAAACAAGGACTCGTGCTAAAATAATACAATTAATATTACATAAAGAGGTGAACATTAAATTACCAGATTGAAATAAATGAGAAACATATATACGACATTAGGTAAAAGTCATATTTAAAATTGTCATGTTAAAAATTAAACAATCAAATTAAAGCATACATATTTAAATTCGAACTTGGAAACTGACTCTGTGATTTTCAAATTTATATCGGCCTCCTCGATAGACATATCTTTTCTTCCATTCCCTTGGAATATTTCATGACAAAATTGAAGTCGTTTTACAGATGATAACGTAATGTATTCTGATGTCTTTGATGAAATCGCTCTACATCGTAACGGTAAATCAGCAGTCTTTGATTTTGGAAGTAACATCTCTGTAATCTTTAAAGGCCATGGAGCAGCCTACCAATTGGTAAGATTTGTTATACCTGAAACCAATCAAATAGCTTACCGTCTAGGTTGGATTGTATAATGTGTACCGTGCATTTCAATACAAATAGAGAAAGACTCTAATACAAAATGAATGCGGCGAATATATGCGAAAAGGAAGGATGTAGCACATTCTGTTGTAACAGTTGATCCCACAACAAAACAGTGTGGGTCGCGGGTTACCCGGAAAACATATCAACATTTCAATCCGTCTCTGAGTCGGTAATTGAGGAATCTTTTCGTATTGTGCTGAATTATGTTCACGATGAACAAGTATTACGTTTAAATGTTAATAGAGGAATCTTTGACCCGATTCATCCACGAACTGGCTTTGCAATATGTTTCTCAACTTATCTGAAATATATGCTTATTTACACCTACGTAAGCGCATTTCAAAAAGATTGTGATATGCATACATAATATGTGTGTGTTTTTTTTTTCTACATGAGACTTTACTTTTGTTCCTCATTGGATTTGGTATTTTTCATAAGAAAAAAACGCATAATTCTTATTATCTTGGTGAAGTAACAAGCAAATACCTCCACCACACCTCACCACCATCACCACCACCAACACCACAAACTCACACAAACACCACAACCTCACACCACCACTAACACCACCACCACCACCACCACAACCTAACACCACCACTAACACCACCACCACCAACACTACCACCACCACCTCACACCACCACTAACACCACCACCACCACCACCATCACCACAACCGCACACCACCACTAACACCACCACCACCACCACCTCACACCAACACTAACACCACCACCACCAACAACAACAACACCACAACCTAACACCACCACCACCACCACCACCACAACCTAACACCACCACTAACACAACCACCACCACCACTAACACCACCAAGCAAAAACGTTTAAATACTATCCTTTCTCATGCTATGACATGCGAGTTAGGAGATTTGTGAAAGGGTGTGCTTGTCTCATGTACATATGTATATGTTTGCATCATTGACGCTAGTTATTCGTGAATGATATATGAGATTGTTTAGGTATTTCGTGCTTCAATCAACTCTGCATCAAAATCGATTATATCTACTCTCGTCTTCCTATATAAAAATACATATGAAATGAATAACTCGACCTTGAATATACGCGGAAATCAGAGAGGAGGTGACAAGGTAACTGAAAATTATATCACGAATTCAAACTTCAATGTTGCTATCGACATATTCGCAAAATTCTGAGAACGTCTAGCAAAACTGCAGACAATTATCAAATACATTCCTAACCAAATTAAAGTATGTGCTTAGCTTTAGCCATTTACACATTTATAAGATGAAGAATAATGCGACAGTATTTGTATTTGAACAGAGCGGAGGCTTCAGTAATATTCGTATTTTCTTTGTCTGAGAAAGAAACTGTAAAAAATAGATATCAAACTGTAGGTTCCAAGATTGAAGTATTTACTAGACGGATCCGCTCTTTTCTTAAGTTTAGAGACTACAAGGCTTGCGACTGCTCGATTGAATGTACAGGTAGCGTGTAATTGTTTAAATTTCTTAAATAACAATAAAAGTCTCCACGTACTGAACAAACATTAAATTTCAAATTGATCAAATTAGACACATGAACCGTTACAAATCAGACATTTAAATACCTGGATATACACCGGGAAATATTTAATACATGAATGACAGAGGTGATGCAATATTGCTTTCTTCAATCAAATGTCTTCTTTTTGTGTTTTGACTCTGTAAAATGTGGACCTTGTCTCCATACGTACAAGCTTAATTGAAATGATGCTTCATCAAAAATCAAGGATTTAGTTTAAGCATTTCATGTCTTAATTTTCTAATACGTCATACAAACCACGAGAAATTCTTAGCGGTAGGAGAGGCATGGCAAAACTATGTAATGCTTCCCAACAATGACTATCCTGTTAACAGAACACATCCGGTGTTGTTATCAATGTTTTTAAGGAATGAGGTTGTGATGCGGCGGATGTAACAGAAGAGTATAAAGGACGGTTCGTTTGGGATGCTGCAGTTAACCCGCAGAAGGAGACCAGACCCGCTTTCCTAACATTCATAGACGGTATGTACATGTTTCTTGATTGTAGGCTGTAATGAATGATACCTGGTTAAACTTTTGTTGATAGAAATAATGAGAACGTTAAAGATTATAGTAACCTTTTACATTTCTTCAAGGTTTCAAGACCTTGAAATAATTCTTGTTTTCCCCTTAACAAAATAACTATTATACTGTTGGATTATTATGTAAAACAGTTGCTTATTCAGCTTTATAGTGCAACCTCATCGGAAGAGTATTAACAAAAAATATTAATATTTGTTTCAACAAATAATGTCAAAAGGATTGAGCAACATGCATAATGTTTTTTTTCTTCAAAAAACTCCAATCACAAAACTCAGGTAGAAAAATGTTGACATGTTTAAAATATCTTAGATATATGCATGAATTCGTAAGAAGTAGTCAATTTACATATAGAATATAAAAGTTGGCTTTAATTATCAATTATTGTCGGAATTGGAACAGAGACTCCAATGGGGAGTGGCACATATCTGAGTGAAGTTGTTTCAGCAAAATATTAGAGACGTGTTATCCGAATAAAGATTGTAAAGATTGCCTTGTCCGGTACTTGTGAAAACGATAAGAATGCATTTTCCCTATATCTTCAATGCAAATCGCCAGATTAGATGTCGCAAATACTAAAGGTAACTTTTGCTCGGATAAATACTTTTTGAAACTTGCACAGTAAATTGGTTTTCAAAGTCTTGCGGGTTTGTAGGACAGCTCAATATTCACATAATGCAAATTGTTCGGATGATAAGTTAACATAAACAGGCAATGTAAAAAGAAAAATGAAAAAAAAGATGTTGGTCGACCAACTAAACTTCACAGTTTGGAGAAATATTCAGTTGTTAATATTTTACTACGACTATCCGCAAATCTCATTTTTCTTTTGTTCGTTTGATATTAACACTAACTTTGTATTAGCTGCAGGGTTTCAAACAGTGAAAACGTTGCCGGTAAAGCGTCAAACGCCTTCAAAAGTAAAATAGTTTAGAAGCTGTCGGTAAAGCGTAAAGAGATTTCAAAAGGAAAACGTAGGGTGACAAGTTTCTACCAAATTAGAAAGTAAACAGCTGAAAATTAAATAAAAGAAATTAAATTGACCATATAGTTACATATGCAACTTTTGTTATCTGTGTTAAAAATATGATATTGATAAACATTTTATGATGAACATGTAACATACACATCATATTGATAAATTACACCCTTAAGGTTCACAGCAGCTTTTAAAACACCACTCACGGCTATAATATACGACACTCAGCGCTATTATATACGACACTCAGAGCTATAATATACCACACTCTGATCCATAGTATACAATACTCGGAGCTATAAAATACCACCTTTCAGCTATATTAAACCACCCTACAGATATAATTTACCATCATCCAGCTATAATCTACCACATTTAGAGCTATGATATATCAAACTCATTTCTTTAATATACCACACATGAGAGTTATAACATACCACAATCAGTGCTAAATATACCACTCAGATATATAGTATACCACACTCAGATCGATAATATACCACACTCAGAGCTATAATATACCACACTCAGAGCTATGATATATACACACAGAGCTATAATATACACACTCAGAGCTATAATATACCACGCTCTGAGTTATAATATACCACGCTCTGCGCTATAATATACCACGCTCTGAGCTATAATATACTACAATCAGAGCTGTACTATACCACCCTTCAGCAATAATATAGCGCTCGCAGCTTTTACACTCACAGCTTTAACACGGCGCTCAAAGTGAAAACACACCACGTAGAGTTATAATATATCACTCTCAGCTATAAGATATCTCACAGCTATAATATATTGCTCACTTTTACATTTTATACTAATAATGACATTTTACTACATCAGTTGTACCATATAACCATAGTAACACTTAATCTACACAGTTTTATTTATACAAAGTTACCCTTTATTCAGCAGTATTACACTTTAGCATCATGGCTACACTATTTTAACATACATGTACATGTATCACCTCATATAAGGAATTCTATGATGGCATAAAAATATTCTTTATCTATTGGTTCCTTCGTTCTAAGATAAGTTCCTATATTATGTAATAGTATTTCTTTAAATAATGCAAATGCAGAAGTGATATTAATGTTCTTGTTTTGGTATTTCACTATATTTCGAACCTTTCAAATGGTATATTTCATAGTTATTGTAACTGTGTAAAATAAATTATTTTGGTCATCTTCATAATCCCCAAGTAGATATTTCTTTTCATTTCAAATGATGTCAAATAATTTACATTTCCACAAAATATTATCAGATATATGATGTTATACATGTGATATAAACTGCTGAACATAATCACAATTGTAAAACAGATGACAAAGTGATTCTATGTTTTCACAAAAATGACATTTTCCATCGGATCTATTCATTAATTGCAATTTTGCTTCTGTGAAAATAGTCTTATGAATACAATTCCACTCAAATTACTTCATTTTTTGGAGTGTTCTTGGTTTTGGTCTAAATATTTCCCCAGTTTTGTATCTCAATATTTCTGGTTTGATAGTAATCTTCCCATTTTATTTCTGCATTAGGATTACAGTCAGGCATAGCTATTTTTTGTATCTTGCTTTCTTGAAGCATTTTAGGTAGAATGATAAAGTGCTGCTTTTTTCATTATCTTTAATAATGAGTTGTAATTTAAAATTAATGAAGCACTCCTTATCGTGGTACATATCATTTTTAAGTATTTCTTGATATTTTTGTGAGATTGATCTCTTGATTGTTGTAAACTCAGATATCCAATTGTGTTTTCTTATCAGTCTTTGTAAAAGAGAGTTACTGTCAATAAAGCATTTATCTGTTTCATTCCAAATATCTTTTAATATTGTTTTGTGTAGAGCAGGGACTTAGAGTTAATCTTAAAAAGTAAATTTCTGAATAATTTCTGGTTTGAGACTTCATTTTTACTATTGACTGGTATACTTGCTCTAAAAATTGATCAAGCTTTAATACATAGTTGATAAAATTTTGAAGGATATTCAAATTAATGCCTTCTAGTCTGGAACATGAACAAATGAACTATCTATTACAAAATTTTCTATCAAATTTCTGCAGGAAGAATTTCCCAAATGCATTCCATTTTTTTAAGTTGGAGTGCAATATTCTTTACAATGTTTTAACATTTTCACTTTAGTTAAATACATCAATATCTACCATATTCATTCCACCATTTGCTGTTGCATTACAACAGGTCTTCTTGCTGCACTGGTTTTATTGTCATAATGTTCTTTGATTTTTCTTTTTAAAAGTTTCATTTGTTCACTTGACTCAGAACTTTGTTCTAAAAGGTATTCTATTTTTTTCTCCATTTCTCTGATTGGTTTGTCCTTTGTATTTATATATCATCCTATTTCCATAGTAAATTCTTTAATTCTAATTTTTGTTATTTCCCACCATTCCAAAATACTTGCATGTTTATCTATTGATTTTGCCCAGCTACATGTATTCCAACACTGTTCAAAGGTTTGTGAAAATATTGAATGTTTAATTACTTTGTTGCTCATTTTCCAATTACCTGGTCGACGTTCAATTTCATGTGGTAAATTTTTTATCGACACCATATTGTGATCACTGTAAGGACAGTGTTTTATTTGTGCATTAGTGAAAAGATGATTTAAAGGAGCTGGAGTTAATATTTTATCAATTCTTGATTCTGAGAGTCCACGTTTAAAAGTAAATTTCTTAGTGGTATCATATTGTCAGCGCCAGATATCTTCAAGGTTATTTTCTTGCATGAGAGTTATTAAGTCTTCTTCTTGACCAATGCCTGGCTTACTCTGAGTAGGCTGTCTATCTAAATTATTATCTAATGTACAATTAAAATCACCTATCATAATATAATCAGAGGAGTGGTCCTTGTTCAAATTAATTACATTGCCAATGATATTAAAAAAAATCTTTCTTTCAAATCCATTATTTGGAGTGTAAATATTAAACAGTTCTAAAACTTTGTCATAAGATTTTATCCGACATGAAATGTATCTACCACTATAAGATTTAATAGCTTCTGCAATATCTTCATTTAAAGTTTTTCTCCATACTATGGCTACACCTCTTGTTGAGCTAGTTCCCTTACCTCAGATGCTTTTACCTCCCTTTGATATATCCTTCCGCTGTGTACTCCATGTATTATGATCTAATTCAGTACAATGAGTTTCCTGAATGCATGTGACATCGACTCTTTGACTATTTATCTAATGCATCACTTTTCCTCGTTTATTATGATCCCTTAAGCCATTTACATTAATACTGCTGATTGTGAAGTGATATTTGTTTGAAGCAGTCATGCCTGAGGGAAACAATAAATGAAATTTCTATGTTCATAACCAACCCAAAGACAGTGTCATTAAAACCACATTATAAAACATGCAAGTTTACGTACAATTTAGCATATTTATAGACATGTACAGTTTCATAAGTAGTTTTAGTTAATACATACACTGTATTTTAATGAAGTGATTAAACATTTCGGTATTATTATGCCTGATACTATAACCTGCCTCTACTATATGTTTCGTTTGTTTAAAATAGTCATGTCAATAAGTGAAACTTTTAGTGTGGTACAAAACAAATCATCTATGTCATAAACACAACAAGATAATTGTAGACTCCTCATATATTCATATATAAGAACATCACTTTAATAAAATACAATCGCGAGTCTAATGACTTCGCTACCATACAAATTTCGTAGATTTCTAAATATTTATCAAATGTTTCTTTTCGTAGATTCACTTCATCACAAAACGAGCCGTTAGTCCGAGTCATGTCGACGTTTTGTATCAAACACAAATGCTCTGGAAAGTTCATCCATCCATCTTCAGGTTGTAGTAACCCGGGCGACAACACTCCGCTGGTCATACAGCAAGACGTACATTCCGGAATGCACTTCGCATTTGACAAAACATGTGGCGGGTATGGTTACATCAGGCACGTCGGAAGTGGGAAATGCATTCATCCCCAAGGCGGCAGTTGTAACCCATGCGATCAGACTGGTCTGGTGCTTCACCAGGACCGCCATGAGGGTGCCCTTTTCTGTATTGATTCATGCAACAACCGCATTCGACACCATGGCGGAAAATACATTCATCCCAAGGGCGGTAGTGCTAATCCATGCACCGGTACTCCAGTCGTACTTCATGGGGACTGTCATGAAAGGATGGAGTTTATCATCGTCTCTCCATGCAATACCAACCAAGAGGTAAACAGATTTATTTTCGACAGTTACGTTACCTTAATTAATTGTCTGGTGGTTACTCTTACGCAATATCTTCGTTTAATATTTGAATATCTGTTTTATGAAAGTAAAACTCTCATAATGAATCCGCCTTTCTTGTCATTATGCTTTTAAACAATATTCTAATCAAAATTAACAGCAGGATTGTTGCTTTTCTAGTTATTTTGTCACTGTGATTGAGCATAACCCAATATGCCGGCAACACTATTTTTTGTTTCGTTTTTGCAAGTATTTTTATGGACAGAAAAGACTCCGTTGCTCTTATTTACATTTCTATCTTCAAGTAAATCTTAGGGCAGTCATGTAGTATAACGTTATACATTATTTGCTTTAACATGTTTCTACAAAAAATATTTTCTGTTGTTGTAGATCAACCTGTAGACACAGCTAAGCGTGGAAATCCAAGGCCTTGACCACTCTCCAATATGTTGGTGTACACCCAATGTACTCTGAATATAACCAACTCCTTTTATTTCTTAGTGAAACTGGCACCCATATTACCTTTACCGTACCAACATGCTGGATAGTAGTTGTAACGCATTAATTTTTTTTTATGAATAACTTCACTGTTCCCAAATCGGGAAGTACCCAAAACGGGACACTTATGGGAAAACGGCACAAGAAACTGTCATGCAATGCAATGAAGTACTTTTATGTTTCATTTGATTACATTTATGACAATTTAACAGTATATCATTTTATATCATTTTCAAAAGTCTATTTTATCAAAACTAATGCTAGTTTGGAGAAGAAATGTTTATCGGAATTCACTTTGACTCTAAAATATTACCCTGATAGTGTTTCGCGTTCTATTTATAGATCCCGCGCCCGAAATACCAACCTGTAATAGAAATGAAAAGTGGATAGTATCTTTCTTTGAAAATGAACAAACATTTTTGAAACTAATAGTACGGTATAAAGAACATTGATATTTATCTAAAACGTGTCTCGATTTGGGTACATTAATGTTATAATAATGCTTTTCCACAGCTTCTGATTAGAAATCTTGTGTAAACGGATGCTTACAACAATGCAAATATTGCATAAAATACTGCCGTACTGAAGCAACCATTTTATTACATATACCAATTTTCATGCATAACTTACCTCGACGGAACTTAGTTAACATCCGCTCCTATTGAATTAAAATCATATACCTGCATGCTGTCTGAAGACATTTTGTATCAAACTATATTATCAATAAAATACGAATTAAATCACATGGTTTTGGTTTTGTTTGATATAAAGTTTTTAATGTACTTCCGTAGATGCCACTGTGTCCAATATCAGCAAGAACGTTTCAAAGTGAATGTTTACAATCAGAAAAAGTTCGGGACTTTCTCTGTTAAAGTTATCGTGGATCCGAGGAAGCGCAACTCCACTTCAAATTATGATGGAAGTTCCCGAACGGTTTACAGTTGGCATTTGTCACTGACAAAACCGTTAATAAAAGATTTTGTTGCTATGAAATGGCTATTCAATAATTTTGGGGAAATATTTTGTTAACAAATAATCACGAACGAACAGAAACTACATGAAAACATAAAATAGAATGATTTTTGTTGTTTTAAATGGAAATTTGACTCAATAACATTGATGGTCCACACAGTTCCGTTCAAACAAATTATTCAACATTGGATACCGCATGAGTATCCTAACTGAGTTTAGGGGAGAATTTTCTGGTGATGCAGACGCTTTCCCGAAAGAATCAATCAAATGCGGAGACACATGTACATATTTCCATCGATTACCAGTCTGGTGAAGTAAAACGATGATACCCGACATATGGACCCCACCTCCTACAAACAGGAAGTAAGGCCGCTTGGTGTATTGTATGATTGATATTCACGGTGAACAGAAATAATAGTAAGATGGGTAAAATATGCAAAACTTTCATTCAATTCATAATATATTGCACCACAATTTATTGGTTAAAAAAGACGGGAAGCCTGCAAGAAACATTTGCCGGAAGAAACCTAACAAAAACTTGGTAGTTATAGATTATCACACTGTGTTGTCAGGGTTTGTCGTGAGGACAATTTTCTCATCGCGAGCACGTGGGCAAAATCGAGAGGCCACCTCAGGTGGACTCGAGCTGTTATTCACGTGCGAGCGTGGATCATCTTTATACTACTACCTAATATATTTCTTCATGTACAAAAGTCAACTAAACACCATATTTTCCAAACGACTTCTAGGCTCAATGGTCATCGATCGCAAACCTCGGCCTGTGACAAACCTAAACAAAAAGAAGATTTGCGCGGAGAAATACATGATCCTTAAAACTAATTAGATTTTTTTTTTACAATCTTATCGTTATTGGCTTTTCCATATGCAGATTCGCGCTTGAAATGGTGTTGTTATTCTCACAATCTGTTTTTGTAACTTTGTATAAATACGTTTATGACGAACTATTTTCTTACGCGGATCACTTTTGTGTGGACACTTTTTCCGGTTTCGGACGTCACCTGGCGCGAGCAGACGTTCTTTTTTTGTGAAAATGGGACAATCCGTTCTCAAGTTCTTCTCATTCGTGTTGAACATCTTCTAATACTGACAACCAATGGTAATTATTTTTTCATGTTACCGGGAGGTGGTATAACGTAATATATAGATGATAGTAAAGCTTCCGCTTGTTTCGGGAAACTAGTTAACACGACATAAGGTTTCCGTCGTGTGCAGGCTTAGGGTTACCGTTAGGAGATCATTTATGGAAAATTTCAAATGCATCCCCTCCCATTTTTTTTTTTTATAAAAGACAGAGAGAAACAACAGAAATAATTGTTCGAAGTGTTTCAATTATGAAAAGTCAAAACACATCTACAAATACAACAATACAGGAAAAGTCCTTCACAAAAAACTGCCCTGACCACGCGTACACACATCCATTCATACACAACATGCGTGGAGGCACGCCCGTTTATGACCTTAGATTTTGAAAGGAAGTTAAACCCTGTAAAGCCAACCTTCACAAAAAAAACACAACCAACAACACATGTACGGACGCACGCACACACACACGCCCTGTACATATGCATAGGCACACTAAATATTCAATGCAGGTCGGGGAATTTGTGAACATCCGTAAACACGTTTTTGTAAACCAACTAACTCATTTCAAAATAAATACCATTTGCCATTGTACCATGATTGTACATCAACAATTCTGGAACTAGAAATATTATGACGAGCTAATTTCAGTTCAAATTTGTCCGAATAAAAAATCGTGCATAGGGTGACACTGTTTTATATTCGTGAGAGAACAGGACCACATCGATCAAGGCGCCAGTAAATAAACTTACATTATGTTTGTAAACATTGTATAAGGATTGTGCTGAATTCTATTTTTGAAATGGTCGTTGAATGTCAGAGATCTGTAGTGTTTGATTTAACCTGATGATACAAGGCCTATATTTAGAAACTCTAAATTTTCACGCAATTGAAATCGAAATAGAATCAATGCAACCTTAATCATTGTGGCCTATGTTTGTTTGTTGGTCGAGTGGGACAAATGGGTATATGTTGTATATATATATAAGTGGATGGCAAACCCATTAGAATTTAATAACCGGTTACTCAATGATTTGCCAAATTGATAAGCAAACAATAAACAAAAGCAAATACGGCATATTTTTACAAAATAAACATTAACATTCGGGCTGTGCACTGTTTTTGTCTATATGAGTGAGTGTTTTCCTGTTAATCGATAGATAATTGTCATGTCCAACCAAGGTCAACAAAGGGTTACCTATGGGCTAGTTAATTTGGTTTCCGACTAACTGTTAATACAAAATATAAATAGATCGACCCCTGATATGGAAGTATTAACAGAAGAAGGTTTGTGGTTTACCTAACACACCAGACTATTACAATATTCCCATCACTGTGCTGACTGAAGAAGTTCCGCGGTTTACCTTACATACCTAACTATTATTAGCATCATTGTGTTGACTGAAGAAGATGCGTGGTTAACCTAACATACCTGACTATTATTGTCATAACTGTGTTGACTGAAGAAGGTGCGTGGTTAACATAACCCATCTGCCTATTATTGTCATCACTGTGTTGAATGAAGAAGGTGCGTGGTTAACCTAACACACCTAACTATTATTGTAATCACTGTGTTGACTGAAGAAGGTGCGTGGTCAACATAACACACTTGACTAGTATTGTCATCACTGTATTAACTGAAGAAAGTGTTTGGTTAACCTAACACACCTAACTATTATTGTAATCACTGTGTTGACTGAAGAAGGTGCGTGGTCAACATAACACACGTGACTAGTATTGTCATCACTGTATTGACAGAAGAAAGTGTTTGGTTAACCTAACACACTTGACTATTATTGTCATCACTGTGTTGACTGAAGAAGGTGCGTGGTCAACATAACACACGTGACTAGTATTGTCATCACTGTATTGACAGAAGAAAGTGTTTGGTTAACATAACACACCTAACTATTATTGTCATCACTGTGTTGACTGAAGAAGGTGCGTGGTTAACCTAACACACTTGACTAGTATTGTCATCACTGTGTTGACTGAAGAAGGTGCTTGGTCAACATAATACACTTGACTATTATTGTCATCACTGCGTTGACTGAAGAAGGTGCGAGGTTAACCAAACACACTTGCCTAGTATTGTCATCACTGTGTTGAATGAAGAAGGTGCGTGGTTAACATAACCCATCTGACTATTATTGTCATCACTGTATCGACTGAAGAAGGTGCGTGGTCAACATAACACCCGTGACTAGTATTGTCATCACTGTATCGACTGAAGAAGGTGCGTGGTTAACCAAACACACTTGACTAGTATTGTCATCACTGTATCGACTGAAGAAGGTGCGTGGTTAACCTAACACAACTGACTATTATTGTCATCATTGTGTTGACTGAAGAAGGTCCGTGGTTTACCTTACATACCTGACTAGTATTGTCATCACTGTGTTGACTGAAGAAAGTGCGTGGTCAACATAATACACTTGACTATTATTGTCATCATTGCGTTGACTGAAAAAGGTGCTTGGTTAAACTAACACACTTGACTATTATTGTCATCACTGTGTTGACTGAAGAAGGTGAGTGGTTAACATAACACACCTAACTATTATTGTCATCACTGTGTTGACTGAAGAAAGTGCGTGGTCAACATAATACACTTGACTATTATTGTCATCATTGCGTTGACTGAAAAAGGTGCTTGGTTAAACTAACACACTTGACTATTATTGTCATCACTGTGTTGAATGAAGAAGGTGCGTGGTTAACCTAACACAACTGACTATTATTGTCATCATTGTGTTGACTGAAGGAGGTGCGTGGTTTACCTTACACACCTAACTATTATTGTCATCACTGTATTGACTGAAGAAGGTGCGTGGTTAACATAACACACCTAACTATTATTGTCATCACTGTGTTGACGGAAGAAGGTGCGTGGTTAACCTAACACACTGGACTAATATTGTCATCACTGTGTTGACGGAAGAAGGTCCGTGGTTTACCTTAGACACTTACCTAGTATTGTCATCACTGTGTTGACTAAAGAAGGTGCGTGGTTAACCTAACACACCTGATTATTATTATCATCACTGAATTGACTGAAGAAGGTGCGTGGTTTACCAAACACACTGGACTAATATTGTCATCACTGTGTTGACTAAAGAAGGTGCATGGTTAACCTAGCACACCTGATTATTACTGTTATCATTGTACTTAATGAAGATGGCAAATGGTTTCCTAACACGCCTGACTATTACTGTCATCACTGATATCTATCCTTATCAGTTGTTATTTCTATTGCATATATGTTGTTTGTTATATCTATCCACGTCACCTCATGTGATATATTGCATGTTATTCTCCCATCGTTACGTATGAATGCTACACGTGTCCCTTGTGAAATGTCTATGTGAGATACTTTTATCCCAAATTGGTGCAGAAAGTGACCTTGGTTCCTTCTAAATTATGACTTTGGGAGTTAATAAAACAAAAGATTCGATTCCAAATGTTCATCACCATATCGGTTTACGTTTTGAAACGTGACATCATTTCGACATGATACACATACGTCATTATAATGACCGGAAGAATATCTACCGACAAAACACTGTTGTTATCCGACATCGATTCACGCAAATGAACAATTGTTAATTTAACTATATGTATGGCGTTTTTTTAACCCTTTTAATTTTGAAGTATATGCTCGGTACATTCG